GGATGGAGATTTTACAGTATCCTTCACCTGGAGTGGAGAAGGAATGGGGATTTTGCAGTATCCTTCCCCTGCCATGCCCACCAAGCCATGCCTACAGAACCGGTAGTAAAAAAGTTTGAATCCCACTGCTGATGTGCGCCCAATATAAGCCCTACCCCCAAAATAAGCCCTAATTAAGATTCCGCCTACTCCAGGATGTACGGGTAAAAATTATGCTAGGGTCGGCATTAGGTGGTGGTGGTGGGGGTTGAGCTGCCCTACTACATACCTTCGGACAGTTGCAGCCAGGCCTTCCGCTCCCCGACACCTTCTTTGCTGGCCCATTTCTTTTGCAGCCGGCAAGGCTTTCCTGAAGGCTCTGTAGCCGATAACAGAACTCCGGATTGATCTGGAGCTCTGTTATCGGCTGCAGAGGCCTTCAAGAAAGACTTGCTGGCTGCAGAAGAAGGACTTCCTGAAGGCTTCTGACAACCAAAAGCAGGCCGGGGGCAACGTGCACAAGTGTCAGTGGATGACATGCCCCCCCCCCCCCCAAAAGACCTGGTGCCTTTTTTTGGTGGCCAAATATATATATATATATAAGACGGGGCCTTATTTTCGGGGAAACGCGGGTAGTAATTTAACTCATGGAGAATTCGACTTCTTCCCGTGCATCACTTAAATAGAATGGAATGTTACTTCCTAAAATAATAAACGCACTACTGTATATCCTGTAATTGTAAGGCTTGTTAGAAAAGCTTTTTGGCACAGTAGTCTTAATTTTTATTTACGGATTAATTTTAGTTACTGGGCAAGCGGTGAATCCCTGCCGTTGTTAAGGGAATCACGTGGCCTTTAAGTGAATCCATCTTTTCCCCCATCTTTGACTTTGCTTGTTGGAAGCTGGCTGGGAAGGTCACAAATGGCACTCAGAAGACCCCAGGATGCTGCAACCTTCATCAATACATGCCAGTTGCCAAGCCCCTGAATTTTGATCACACGGCATAGGTTCAACATGGGAGCGTTGAAAGTATGGGGACCAGTCATCAATTACTTTCTTCAGTGCCATTGTAATTTTGAACAGTGGCTAAACAACTGGTTGTAAGTTGACGACTGCCTCTACTACAGGGCAGGATAGCAATATTTCCTATACCAAAGTTCTTCCCAAAGTCATGATGGTGAACCTATGGCACGCTTCTGGGTTTCTGGTGCACATGTGCGTGTGATGATCAGCTATCCTTTGCGTGCGCAGCAGTGCTGAAAACCGGTGTGCACATGTGTGCTGGCCAGCTGATTGTCGGGCGTGCTTGTGCGTGCCAGAACCCGGAAGTTCGGCTTTTCCGGAGCGCGATCTCTTCGCACGTGTGGCAGTGCCAAAAACCGACCTGTACATGTGCGCTAAACAGCTAATTGTCAGTTTAGCTTCTCCGGAGTGCGTGACAGTGCCGAAAAGATTCACTATCACTGTTCGAGAGGAACCCAGAACAGTTTGTAAAAGAACAATGAAAGCAAAAAACAGCAAAGCAAACAGCTCTCCAAAATTAAAACTTTAAACAGCTGTGTGGTGCAGTTGTTAGAATGCAGTATTGCAGGCTGACTCTGCCAACCGCTAGCAGTTCGATTCTGGCTGGCTCAAGGTTGAAACTCCGTCTTCCATTTTTTCTGAAGTCAGTAAGATTGTTGGGAGCAATTGGCTGATTTAGAGACTGTTGTAAAGCACTATGAAGTTTCATTTCATTTCATTTTATTGAGATTTATAGGCCGCCCTTCTCCCTGAGGGGACTCAGGGCGGCTTACAATCACAAGGGGAGGGGGTGCAGTACCAAGAGACAAACAATAGTGAACAAAATAAAATGGTAAACCACAACATGCATTCAACAGTCAACACTCGGGTGGGTAAATTGGAAACCTATCCCCAGGCCTGCTGGGAGAGCCAGGTCTTGAGGGCTGTGCGGAAGGTCTGGATGGTGATGAGGGTACGAATCTCAACGGGGAGCTCGTTCCACAGGGTCGGGGCTGCAACAGAAAAGGCTCTCCTCCGTGTAGTCGCCAGTCGACATTGACTGGCGGATGGAATTCGGAGGAGGCCCAGCCTGTGCGATCTAATCGGTCGGAGGGAGGTGATCGGCAGAAGGCCGTGTATAAGTGTATAAGTCTTAAGTATTATTGCTAAAAGCAATGACGACGTGCTTTCTTCCCCTTCTCGTGCAGTACGGAACGGTCCAGAAAGTGGCAGTAAAATCATGGTGCAATTCCCACGGTGCCAGTGCAAAGATCTTCCTAAAAGTGACGTGTTGCAAGACAACAAATGGAATTACCTGCGTGGCCCCTTCAAGGAAGTCCAGTGGAACAAAATGGAAGGACGTAATTTTGTATACAAAATGGAGCTTCTCATGGCCGCACTGACTCCTTGTTCCTAGGTCAGGGGTTGGCAACCTTAAACAGAGTCACAAAGATCCCAACTGGAAGCCCCCTTTCAATTCTGGAGCTGACCAGAAGTCCATTTTCCCCCACCATAGAGTCTCCTCCTAGCAAGGCATCTTTTTTCCTCTGCCAATTGGAAGTCCGGTTCCCCCACCATAGAGTCTCCTCCTAGCACGGTGTCCTTTTTCCTCTTCCTGTCCTAACCGAAAGCCCTATAAATTGGGGGTCCAACCGGCAACAAGGAGCCGCAGCAGAGCGATGAAAGAGCCACATGCGGCTCCAGAGCTGCAGGTTGCTGATCCCTGTCCTAGGTTAGGGAACAACAATCCAAGGAGGTGATTTTTGAGACCAGCGTGTAAGCAAAGTCAGTGAGAACAGCACATACATTCCTGGAAGCAATCTGTTTTTGATAACTCCATGGATTTCTCTTCAGTGATATTTCATTGCATCTTTTATCGCCTGTGCTCTACATAGTCTGACCAGCAAGTTCGGAATATTCACTTCAACTGTGACAGTTTTTGAAATAATTAGTCACGTTACCAAAGTTCAAATTTCATTAAATACTTTATTGGAAACTTTGTACAAAGGAGAGCAGGTTTACATTTATGTTTTGCCTTTAAATGCTATTTAAATTGTTTGGTTATACATCTTTTGAACAAATGGATTAATGACCTATTCACAAGTGGAATCCAGAATTCTATTTCGGTCAAAATAGTATTTTGCTTTAGCGATTCTTGGTTTGGCTTGCTCAAGAGCATAAATGAGGACGTTAACTGAAAAATCACCTGCAAGCTTGGGTAAGATTTTGTTTTTATTTTTACACTTAAAAATGAGTGTGAAAAGTTTACAAACTTGTTCAACCCACCCAGGACAAATAATTGCTAGTAAAATAAAAATTGATAATATCCGCTTGGCCACAACTTGATAACAGGAAACAATGAGGGGAAAATACAAAAATAAATGGAATGTTTTAATATTGCCTTCATCAAATACTGGAAAGTTAACAATACCACAAATTTCCATATAATTGGATTGGATTTGGGGGGGGGGGGGATTTTGTTAAATAAATCCATTAGTAGCTCTTTGATAGTGATGGTAGTGGGTAAACATGATCATGTATTTTTAAATATAATTTAATAAAGAATTTCAGTTTTTTTAAAAGCAGTGTGGTCTACTGGGCGAGGTAGTGGCCTACATGTGGCACTCTCTCGCTTCACAATCAGGAGACTCTGCGTTGGATCCTAGGTAGCAGCAGATATTTCTCTCTGGGCGCAATGAGTTATTGTCTGCTGCTAACTCCATAGGCATCAGGAAGGGCATCTGGCCAGTAAACGCTTGAGTTTTGTTCAGTCATCCTGATTCAAGGGGATTACAGGGTCATTTTATAAAAAGCTGTGGGCTTCTACCACCTGTATGGATTCAAAGCTTTTGTGCAGAATGGAATAGAAGAATAGAATGGAATAGAATAGAATAACAGAGTTGGGAGGGACCTTGGAGGTCTTCTAGTCCAACCCTCTGCTTAAGCAGGAAATCCTGTACCAGTGATGGCAAACCTTTTTCTTACGGCGTGCCAAAATTGCGCATGCAGTTTTGTTCCCGAACTTCTGGTTGGCCCGTTGGCACCGTTTTTCGACTTCCCCAGCCTCCAAAGCCTTTCCTGAAGCCTGGGGAGGGCGAAAATGGCCTCCTCCGGAAGGGTGAAAATCAGCTGGCCGGCACACACATGCACGCCAGAGCTGATGGCTGGCGTACCAGCAAATATGTCTCCATGTGCCACCTGTTGCACACGTGCCATAGGTTCACCATCACTGCCCTATACCGTTTCAGACAAATGGCTATCCAACATCTTAAAGACTTCCAGTGTTGGGGCATTCACAACTTCTGGAGGCAAGCTGTTCCACTGTTTAATTGTTCTAACTGTCAGGAAATTTCTCCTCAGTNCAGTGAATTCTCCGCGCCAGGGATTTTTTCTGCCTTTTTGCAGAACGAAGGCATATGTCCACCCTCAGCTAAATGATTGATTTATACCTCATTCCAACACGGGCAGACAAATTCACATAACACCCAGAGACCGGATCTAATATACATGACAATCCCCAAACACACCCCCACCCACCAAAAAATTCCCTGCCCCTAAACCACCCAAGCGTCCACACAACAGACCAAGTAGTGCTGTTCGACAGCTCACTGATGGTAGCCCTTTTGTTCATTGTTGTGTGCAATTACAGCTCTGGGATAAAAGCTATTCGGAAGACGTGTGATCCGAGTTTTAATTATTCTGTATCTTCTGCCAGAAGGCAACAGTCTAAAAAGATTGTAAGCAGGATGGGAGGAGTCTCTGAGAATGTTATGCAAATTCCTCGAACAGCGAGATGCAAAGATGTCATCCAGGGCTAATAACGAGCTCGGTGATATTCTGGGCAGTTTTAAGGATTCTCTATAGAGCCTTTTTGTCCACTGCAGAGCTGCTCCCATACTATGCAAGAATGCCGTATGTCAAGACGCTCTCAGTGGTGCTGCGATAGAACAGAAGTAGATGCTGAGATAGATATATCTTCCCGAGCATTCTCATATATTCAGATAGTATTGCAAATTGCTTTCATTATGGATATGAAGGCAATTTGCAATAGTTATCTAGCAAATGAACGCTTCCCATATGGACATTTTTTAATTCCATTATGTTAGGGTTTGACTGTTTGATTTGATTTCACTTTGATGTAAAGGTAATGATGCTTTTAATGAACACTTTGTATTAGAGAGCAAGGACATTTGTTTTTTGACATTAGCACCATGTACAACTCCCCTTATAATAATATCTTGTGATTTTCAAAGGTCTATTCAATTGCAGTTGAATATTGGCATTGAACAGACCAGGGTAGTACACAGAGATGGAAGAGTGATCACACTGTCCCATCAAGAGCAAGAATTGCAAGATTTTCTTCTTTCTCAGGTAAAAAAACTCAGTATTTTGTTTCCCATTCTGGTTCGCATGGACCTTTTGAACTGACTTACTAAGACAGCAAAGTCCTCATTCCATTATTATTGTAAAAGAGATTAATTAAAATGCCAAGGATTAGAGAGGTGAANGCATATAAATTTAATAAACTGAACTGAACTGAACCATCCCAACTGGAGATGTCTCCCAGTCACACCACTCCAGGTGCAGGTTGAATGTCCTTGACTCTCAGAGAAAAGAATGTTGTATGGCTAAATACATTATAGAAGAAACTCTATGCAAACCACCTTCCCAGTTTCCTACAGATTAAATGTGGCAGCCCTGCAGAAAAGATGCCCTCCAGGGCTGACATAGATGTATTTAAACCAAACCTAGAAACTAACATTTCCAAAATACAGGTAGTCCTCAACTTACAACAGTTCATTTAGTGACCATTTGAAGTTACAAAAGCATTGAAAAAGTGACATGACCATTTTTCACATTTATAGCTGTTATAGTATCTCTATGATCATGTGATCAATATTCAGTTGCTTGGCAATTGGCTCAATTTATGACTGTTGCAGTGTCCCAGAGTCATATGATCACCTTCTGCAAACTTTTGACAAGTCAGTGGGTAAATCGGATTCACTTAACAACCATGTTAGGACCTTAACAACTGCAGTGATTCACTTAACAATTGTGGCAAGAAAAGTCATAAAATGGGGGAAAACCCATTTAACAAATGTCTCCCTTGACAACAAAAATGTTGGACTCAATTGTGGTGGTAAGTTGAGGACTACCTATACACCGCAGTTAAATGAAACATGATTTCAGTTTTCAGATGAACATCTTTTCAAGTTTATTAACTTTTGTGATGTCAAGAACTGGCTTCAAGGGAAGACGTGTTTGAAGTTCCATGCCATAATCTTCATTAACATTTCAAACATTTAGAAGAAATGCACCAAATATTTATTTTTCTCTTTTTTTAAAAAAAATACTGCTATAGTGTTGGCAAAATGGATTGCCATCTTGTGACGGAAAAATATAGAAATGGGAAGATTTTATTCTAAATATGTATTTGAGCATTGAGTCAATTATCAAGAAAATTACCAACCCAAAGCTATTGAAAGGTAAAAGAAGATGTGTGTATATTTTCATACTCTGGTTTCACAAAATGTGTACATTTCATGTACTGATGTGCCAACTTCTTCTTATTATTATTATTTTTTAAAAAACCCAACACCCTGATTCTACTACCTACTATGACAGGTAGAAGGCAATACAAGATCAAAGAAGTTGACAAGTCCTTTATGGAGGAATACTTCACAAGAAACATATTTGGTAAAGACAAAAAGAGGATAAAGTCATTAAAATTCCCCATTGTGAATCTATCAAAGTTAGCAGTTTTATGACTTACAATGATAACACAGATTTTATTGCTAAGAATGCATTCTTGGAATCAGAAAATTCCCAATTTTGCACTGCTTGTTTTAAACATAAGGCATTTATTACAGAACATAAGTAAAACTCAAATGGAGCAAAAATGCCACTTTTTCTTCAATGTCAACCAAATGCTGACAGCAAATTCACAAACATTTTTCCAAAATGGCCAGCTGGATGCCAATGGCAATTCACCCGGGACATTTTTATCTCTGTGAACAGTTACTTCTGCAACTGACTATGGCAGATTTTCAATTTTTTTCCAGTTTAGCAGGGTTCAGTCATTTCCCTGCAGCTATTAGTGTTGATTAGAATGGGTGCTGTAGAGTTTATTATGGAGAGGAAAACAGCAGTTATGCAGTAGGGCATACACCAGAAGATTCTTTGAAGTCACCCCTTTCCATTTTTTTATTGCTATGGGGAAAGGTTGTATGGGTAGATGGATTCATTGAGTTTAGTGACACTAAGTACCAAATAGGACAGAAATGTATTCGTCGTCAAGCACCAGGCAAATCAGGAGATTCAGGCAGTTCAAATAATTCTAAAGGTTTATTGCAACCTTAAGCTTTCTACAAGCTACTCATAGTCAAGGGAAATTAGCAGCAGTTAATAAAGGCATTCAAGGTGGGCTGGACTTGGATATCTTGT